GGCTGGAGAACAGATAAATAATGAGGAAGACTCTGCAAAATATTCCACCGCTTTGTGAGGACAAGAAAGGGCCTAGAACACAGTTGGGATTTGTGCAGATGAAGCAGATGGCATAACCGAGGCTGAAGTCCCACGATATGTGTTCCTCAATTAGGTGGGGTATTGTAGTGAAAAAATTCACATGCATTTGAAGTAGAAGGTCACTCGGGGTCATTCCCTAGGCTAATCATCTTCCTCTTCTGGGGAAGATCTGGGGCTGATTTGGGGAAGTGTTTGTGCCAGAGTTGAAAAATTAGATCACTAGGGTGAAGAACTTACATCATGCACAAAAGGGTTGTATTTGAGTCTTTGTGCTCATGGAACTTCTTGGGGACCAGTGACATACCTGATGTATTTCCCACTGATACAGTCATGGACAGTGCAAATAATAAATCAAGACTTTGTGGATTTATACCTTCTTACCCATCCCTGATGCTGGGGAGGAAACCTGAGAAGGGGAGGGAATGTGTTAGCAACCGCTTCCTTTCCTCCCTCCTCCTGGGGTTTGATAAGGTGAGGTCAGGTGACTATAGAGCAGGGCTGTGGGCAGAAATAGATTTGCTGAAAAGAGATGAGGAAGGCAGACATCCCAAGGCATGTTTGGAACATTCAGGTTAAATGCAGCATAGCATTATTCAGCAATAAAAAGGAATGAAGCATTGATATCCACTACAACATCAATGAACCTTTAAAATATTATGCTAAGAAATCAGTCACAAAAGACCACATATTGTGTGATTCCACTGGTATAGAGTGTCCTGAATAGGCAAATCTATGGAGGCATCTCATTCCACCCTATTTTTCCGGCTTCCTCTTTTTCTCTGCCTGCCCCATCACCCCATGCAGCATTTGATCTGTCCTCAACACTCTCCCTGAAAAATCTAGGTGCTCTCAGATCTCTCCGCCTTTGCCACCTTTATTATCTTCCGGTACATATCTGTTCTTCTAGGCTCAGCTTAACTGGCAACACCAATCTAAACTGGGCAATCCTGACGTCTGCTGAGAGGAGCTCATCCCCATTATAAAGTGAACTCATTTGGAATAGCGTAGAGTATCCAGGCTGGGACCAGACCTGGAGGTTATCTAGTCCTAGTTCAGTCCCTTCATATGACAGAGGAGGAAACTGAGGCCCTGAGAGGATGAATGGCCTGACCAAGTCCTGAAGCACACTGAGGACAATCCCAGGTCCTCCTCATACAGGGCTCTTTGTCTGGCACTTCAACCTTTTTGCAGTTATTTTTGATGGAACAAATATTTATCAAATATTTTCTATGTACCCATGTTTTATTGTGTCAGCTCATTCCTTAAAAGCTTCCTACATGGGCTGGGCACAGGTGGCTCCCACCTGTAATCCCAGGACTTTGGGAGGCTGAGCCAGGTAGATCACTTGAGGCCAGGAGTTCAAGATCAGCCTGGCCAACATGGTGAAACCCCATCTCTACTAAAAAGACAAAATTGGCCAGGCGTGGCGGTGCACACCTATAATCACAGATACTTCGGGAGGCTGAGGCAGGAGAATTGCTTGAACTCGGGAGGCAGAGGTTGCAGTGAGCCAAGGTTGCACCACTGCACTCCAGCCTAGGCAACAGAGCAAGACCCTGTTTTAAAAAACAAAACTAAACAAAAAAACACAATTCTTACATGGCTCCTCATTATTGTCATACAGGAGGGTACATAAGCCTCTTCACAGCCCAGCCTGTCCCTACGATTCCAGCTTCACTCCTTGCTTCTCCCCCCGTATCTGGCCATCCACCATTCTGAACTGGCCAGCATAGTGTAATGCAGTCAACATGTGCAAAGACTTCAGAGGCAAAGGCCTGACTGTGAACCAGGTCTCTCCACTTAGCCACATTCATCTTTCAGAGCCCCGGTTTCATCAGCTGTAAAACTGGGATAACAATACTTCTGAGATCGTTGATAGGATGACTTTGTTTATTTAAAAAGCTTCCTGCACCATTACTGGTAATGTTTATCATTTTAAATGAGGACAACTATTACTTTCCTCAGAAAGCTTCTCTGCCTTCCCAGCATTATGGAAGGTGCCCCTTTAGCTCCTGTGCTTACCTCCTAACAGTGTAAATTCTGTTAAATGTTTGTCTCTACCGCTGAGCATAAGGTCTTAGAACACAGGACCATTGTTTCTTGTTCAGCTTGACAACTCCAAAACATTGATGATAACCAGGAAATGCTTGTTGGTTGAAAGGAAAAGGAGGAAGAAGGAAAGCAATAAGCAAGGTGCTGTGAGGGGCATGAACATGACAAAGGCAGAGCCCTACCCTCCAGATGTCAGACCTCCAGCTGGACAGACAAACTGCAGATTGCTATATTTGATTCCTGTAAGGATAAAGTATGATATATTTATGACAGGGAAAAAGTACTTTAAAAAAAAACTTACTTTTTCCTTATTGTGAGCTATATCATACCTACAGGAATGCATAAAAGTAGTATGTAGAGTTTGAGGAATAAAATTAACACTTTAAGCACCATGCTAGACGAGAAGTGAGAGAATTGCAGAAGCTCCACCCTCCCCCAGAAGTCTCCCCCGTCACAGCTTCTTTCCTCTCCCCAAGAAGTAACTACTGTCCTGGCTTTCGTGATAACCATTTCCTTGCTTCTCTTTATGATTTAATCATCTATGTATGAATCCCTATCCAATATAGCTTTGCTTTTGAACCTTTTATAATCTGAACCATCCTGTATTCATACTCTTGAGACTGGCCTCTGTCCCTCAAGTTTGTGAAATTGATCCATGTTGTTGAAGATATAGCTGTGGTTCTTTTCTTTTAATTACTATTCTATGACTATGTCACAATTTATCCATCTACTGCTAATGGACATACAGGATTTGTCCAGTTTGGGAATGACAAACAGTGCCTTTTTTTTTTTTTTTTTTGGACAAACAGTGCTTCTGTTAACATTGTTGTATTCATTTTCTCCAGTAGCTAAACATGCAGCATTCTTTTTGTTGATGTTGTTGAGAATTCAGTTCTACCTCTGGAAGTAGTGAGATCCCTAGGGGTAGAAAAATTGAAACTAGTCTGCACAAAGATGATTTTAAAAAGACAAGAGTCTCAAAGTGTATTTGAAAGTTGTGTGTTTGAAAACTCTGTTTCTTAAAGTGTGCTCCACATAACAAAATCATGTGGAGAATTTGTTGAATATACAGATTACAGACCCAGCCCAAAACCACCAAGCAAGACCCTCCACAGATACAGCCTGGAAACTACGTTTTAGCAAGCTTACCACCCACCCCCACATGACTCATGTAGATCACTAGCCCTCCATCTTATTTTTATTATTATTCTTTTTTCATTTGTTAGCATTTAGTTAAACTCCCTCCATGTGGCTTCAAGCCACCAGGACACAGCCTCCCTACCTCTACCTTTTTTTTTTTTTTTTTTTTTCATTTGTTAGCATTTAGTTAAACTCCTTCCATGTGGCTTCAAGCCACCAGGACACAGCCTTAATCTTCTCCCAGCTCCCCTGCTGAAGAACTTGGCCTTCATGACAGCGGGCTACTTTGGGAGTTTCCCTTTCGCAGAATCTGCAGTAGCCCATAGCACTGCCTCAGTAATGGGAGCAGCTTCAGCTGTTTTTCTTTTTTTTTTTTTTTTTGGGGGGGGGGGGCGGTCAACGTATGGTTACTCATGTCTCCTGACTGATCAAGGTCCACGATTTGTCAAGGTTGACAGTTGGGCAGAAGCTCTGGTTTCTCTTTAAGTGGTAATGCCTCATAACCAACTTTACCAAAGTAACCTGGGTGACACTTGTCGAAGCTTATGCATGCCATCAGCATTACCCTGGCCTCCAGGTGCTTCCCGTCCTTGGCCAGGCCTTTCCTTTCTGTAGATGTTGCGTGTGTGATGAAACAAATCTCAGTGGTCGGTGCAGTGTTACGAGAGGGAGGAGCAGTACTTCCATGCCCAGAAAAATCAGCTCCCCTTGATATGTCCTCCTTCTGCTGGTGTACCAACAGTCTCCAAGCGGACTCTGCCCTTAGCACACCTACACACTGTGGTCCTCGCCTTTTGCTTTCTTCTTCACACCTCTCCCCCTCATCCCTCAATCTCTACCCTATTCCCAAATGCTCCAGAATACTCAGAAGTCTCATTTTAAGTAACTCAAAGTCTTTCCATGACCCCTAGCAATGCTTTACTTAAACAGGAACTGTTTTATATAGACTATCCTTTTTAGAGTTTAGATTCACTGCAAAATTGAGCAAAGATTTCCCATATACTAGTCACACTTCTCTAAAATCTACTCTACCTACTCATTCCTCCCTGCCCGCTAATGCATCAACCACTGATCTTTGTAAAACTGTCTCCAGTTTTGACTTTTCTAGAACGTCATGTAATTTTAACCATACAGTATGTACCCTCTTCAGAGGAGCTTGTATCACTTAGTAATATGTATTTAGGTTTAGCACTGAATAATACTCGCCAGTCTGTCCGGATACGTCAGTTTATCCAACCATTAAAATACTGAAGAACATACTGGGTGCTTCCAAGTTTTGTCAATTATGCATGAAGTTGCTGTCAACAACTGTATGCAGGTTTTTGGGTAGATGTTCCGTTTTCAGCTCATTTGGGTAAACACCAAGAAGTCCAATAAAAAGTCTGGTAAGAGTATGTTTAGCTTAAGAAACTCCAGTGTCTTCTGAAGTGGGTGTACCATTTTGCGTTCCTACAAGCAATGAATGAGAGTCCCTATTGCTCCATGTCCTTGCCAGCATTCGGCCGTGTCGGTGCTTTGGATTTTGGCTATTCTAACAGATGTCTAGTGGTACTTGTTTTAATTGAGACACCTTGTTTTAAAACCACTACTCTTCACTTCTTGTTTTTTGGAGGTCTTGTGTTTTAAAATTTTGAGAGCAAATTATAAGCAATTGATCTTTCATTATTAAGCATGATTCTATTTACACATATTTCAGACTAACTCTCTTTTTTCCCTTTTAAATATAGGTAAATGCAGAGGGAACACCAGAGGATGTTTTTCTTCAACTCTGCGCAGCTATCGACTCTATTTTCTGAAGGCAAAAATGCACGTTTGTTAGAGTGGAAACAGATAAAAACATTAAAAAGTTCATTCCTTTCAATGTTTCAAGTTAAACCTTTTGTGTTCCCCCTCCAAATCCTGACAGCACTGTTTACTTCCCAGCTAGACCTGTGTGAGGTGTCTGGAAATCATGCATGGTATATTTGGGATTATCAATCTCTTCTCCATACTTCAGACAACTGTCTGTGCTCACAGCACGCACCCCTTGTATCATGCAGGCCGCACTCAGAGCTAGTCAGTATGTGAACAGTGGTGCCGTGCCAGTTGGTGTCCGTTGTGATCGCAGGCCTTTCTAGAGGCTGATCATCTGGTTCTCATTAAGCATCCCTCCTCACTCCCAGTCACACCTCCTCTCCCCAAGATTTATATACTGTTCCCCGATGAAGGCCCCTGGCACAGGGGATAGGCCTGGGCATTTTCTTTGGTGTCTGTTTCCTCAGTTCATCCACTAGTAGCTCAGAGCCATAAGGTAGGTTGATTACACAATCAATGCTTTGTACATGATATAGAGGCATCAAGCAAGTAAAATTTGATAGAAATTTTAAAATATGAAATTGCATAGTTTTTCCAAGACGGCAAAACCCAGGTTTGTCATCATCAATAACATTCTCTTATTATTTTTAAGAAAGTTGGAATACTGTCATTATGGCTAAGAGAACAAATCTGTTAAGTTGGGGAACCTAGTATCTTCTCTACATGGTGACGCATTTCAGCAATTATAAATTAATTATCAATGACCAAAAGAAATTTTAAGCATTAAGTGATTTGCTATTTCATTCACTGGACACATATCAAATTATAATTTTGATTTTAAATGGTCACCCATTTATTTGTGGCCAAGCAAGTAAGTAAAAAATACCATAACAAAACTGATGTGGGTGGGAGGGGTGTCAGTAAGTGGTGTGTTCAATGTTGTGTTTGTTTCATATGGGCCCTTTCCAGGAGCCTGCAAACTTTGTCATACCCATTTGCAAAACTGTGTTTCCTTGCATTACCAGTGAAGTCTGGGTCCTCTTTTGTGCTATATCAGTTGTCAAATCAGAGCTTCTTATATATTCTACTAGAATAACTGCATCTTCCACTCAGTCACTACAAAAAAATAATAGTTTCGGTTTGCATGATTTTTTTTTTCTTCAGTGGTTGTGTAGATAAGGATCCAATTCTGGGTAGAATTGTATTTTTTAAGTCATTTTTTCTTGAAATGGAAATGTACAAATAAAATAAATGAAGACAGGATAACTCTTTTTCTATTTATTTGTAACTTCACATCATTCTGGAAAGCATTTGAAGACTTATTCCAAACAGAATTAGAAGCAAACACAGAAATAGTCAAGATTTACGATATACTTATATGGTTTTAATTTTAGCTATAGATCAGTTCTGAGTTATTACAGAGAGAACTCAATGTATTCATGATACATGATAATTTTCATATTTCCTTTTTTCTCTAGCACTCATTCTGAAACAGAAATGTCAGTGTTTGCTAAAGAATTAAACTTCTTTGGTTACAATTACGCCTCTATTAACAAAAAGGGGCATGTTCCCACAACTCAAACAGTTGTCAAATACTCTATTACTACCCCAAGTTGTCACGCTCTCTGTCAGGGAGCACAAGTACTTGTGCAAACTAGAAAAAAATAAAGGTTACACGACGAAAATCGTCAGTTGTGCCAGAAAACATAAAATGACTCCAGCAGGGACTGACATTCTTGAAATACATACCACATACTGACAAACAAACAGTCCACGCCCAGCACAGCTCTGACAGCACAGGTAAAGAAAATGAGACAGCAGAGGGGCAGAAAGGCCCAGCCATGGCTTTTATGGCTGTAGCTAACAGCTATCCTGAAATGGCTTTGGCCCTGAGGAGTATCTAGAAGTCCAAATCAACTCTTCTCTAGAACACATTACTGATTCGAATGACTTGAAATGATCTCGCTACTTTAAAGTCCTAAGATTTTAATACTGGAAAAGACCCGAGCGGTCTCTGTCTAGCAAAAGACTTGTGTGTATGTAGAACACATCAGAACATAATCTAAACTCCTTTACAATGATCTGTATTCAGGGCTGTATCTGAGCTGGCCTGTGCTCTCTCTGACACCATCAGCTACTGCTCTCCTCTTGCTCATCTGGCTTAAGCTACACTGGCCATCTTAATGTTGCCCCAACAAGCCCCAACAAGCCATGCTCTTTAGTGGCTCAGGGCCTGTGCATTCTTCATGCAGCAATTTCCCTCGCTCCATTCTGGTTTCTATTTATTTGAACTTATCCTGGCCAATAGAGGATTTCTTTGCTTATTCCATCTAAAATAGCAGACTATTCCCCATTCTCCCATTATTTTTCTCTGAGCATGATATATCTTCAAAGCATTTATCCCTGCCTCAAATTAAGTAATAGCTTTTATTTACTTACTTATTACTGGTCTTCTGCATTAGGTTACAGTCTCCATAAGGACACGGCTTGGTATCTCCAGTCCCACACACAGTAATTAATATTGAGAGCTAACATATTTACCATACTCTCTGCACGTCCAGTTTTCTCATGTATACAATGGAGAACATAATAGTAATGAACCTCATAGAAGAACTGTGAGGATTAAACGAAAGTTAGTAAGACACACAGATCGTTTACTAGCTCCTAATGTGCAATGAAAGGTAGCTCTTTGTCAACACTTGAGTGTTTCACTTCCACAACTGGGACTAAAACCCAGACTTTCCACTCCAGTGTCCTTTCCATTACATCACCATTTTTTTTTTTGAGACTGTGTTCTCCCCCAGGCTATGATGCAGTGGCACAATCTACTACAGCCTCAACTTTCCGAGTTCAGGTAATCCCCCCACGCTAGCCTCCCAAATAGCTCAGACTATAGGCACGTGCCACCATGCCCAGCTAACTTTTTTTGTATTTTTAGTAAAGACAGGGTTTTGCCATGTTGCCCAGGCTGCTCTCGAACTCTTGGGCTCAAGCAATCCACCTGCCTTGGCTTCCCAAAGTGCTGGGATAACAGGTGTGAGTCACGGTGCCCAGCTCTGTTATATCACTCTTAAAAACATGGTAAAGAATCAAGATACACAGCCTAACTAGGGTCCCACAAAGAACCAAAACCACCTCTGCCAACCAGGGTTGAACCACAGCCTTCAGGCAAGATAGAATCCAGTTCCCCTGTCCTCTCACAGCACTGTCAAGATGACCTTCTGAGGCAAGCCCTCTAAGGATCTCACAGACACACTCAGTCACAGGTGGTATCTCTTAAGTTTCTGAAGGAAAAAATGTAAACTCGTCAAATGTTGGTCATACAACCAACACATATGTATTGAGAATCTATTAAATGCCAGGCCCTAGAGATACAGACAGATATGGATGGTCTCTGTTCTCATGGAGCTAAATGTATTATAACTAACTGTGAAAAATCTAGTTAACTAGCTACATGAACTGTAGGAAAAAAAGTTAATATTTTTTCTGGGATCATATAAACAGAAGCACATTTTTCATCAAGAAATAAAAACAAACAGTTTACAGCCTAAACAATGCCTTCATAAGCTTATAGAAAAACCTACTGAAATCTGAAGACTTCCGATCCCATCCAGTGTATCTATAGATGAATAACAGGCTTCAAACTTCATTATCCACAGTAAGAAATAGTTTTATATAGCACACAATACTTATATTTATGATTGAAAAAGACATTTCACAAAACAATATTTATCTTTATTACATGTGATGTACCATTTTCTCTTTTTTTTAATGTTCCTCATACCTCAGTAAATTGTTGTGTTCTGTGATTTAAATTAAACAAAAAGGGGAAGGGGAGAAAATAGACAAGGCATACTATTAAGTGAGAAGCACCCAACATGCATAGAAGAAAATCCTACCTGAGGCAGGAAACACAAGCCTTTGTCCCAGCTTTGCCTGAGACTTTGCAAGCCTGGACATATGGTGAGGTTTGTACTCTTAGGAAGCACACCCCGTCCGGAAAACAGACTGTAAGGCAACATCTGCACACCTCCACTCCTAACACCTAGTGTTGCCTGACACAAGGGGAAATTTCCTGCTCAGGAAACAGTGTAGTAAGGCAGACGCTGACTCTGAAGTAATCTGTTTAGGTTAAAGTCCAAGCATCACTGCTTTACTAGGTATATGACCTTGGGCAGGTTAGTTAACTTCTCTCTGGCTAGATTTCCTCATATGACAACAGGATAATAAATTAACCTGCCTCATAGGGTTGTTGAGAATTAAATTAGTTGTTATTTGCTTGCTTGACACATAGTAAACACTGTTTTCTATTATTATTATTATGCATCACGCAAAAGGAAGCTTCCTCTGCTTAAACCTTACAGCAATGGTTTTAGATATCATTAAATGTTTATTCAGTTGTGCAAATAACTTGAGCACAATATATCAGGAAATAGATCTTATCTACTGAATTCCACTGAATAAGCAATACTTTAGCAAGCAGGTCTTTTACAGTCGTTTTAGCTTACAGTCAATAATTCTGTGTAGGCAGATGGGGGCCTACTGGCAAATGACAGCTCTGCCCATTATTCTTGCAACTCTCAAAACAACAACAAAACACTACCTGCTATTATCCGAACTTCAGGGCCTTTTAAAGCCATGGGGGCTATTTTCCTGGAGCTGAAAAATGCAAAGCAAATACATCATCTGCTTAAGCAGAAAATCCTCTTTATTACTCAAAAACCTCAAAAACTGTTTGCCCTTGAAAATGCATTCAAGTGGCTTGTCTATTCCATTTATGTAACGATTGTATCACTCATAGCCCTCTTCCAAAGCAAACATCATACTTCATGGAATTTTTGAATGGATCTGAATGGCTTTCCAAAACTAATTGGTATTATTTCTACACAAACATAGAAGTTACCATCAAGTGTTACTATTTTACCTAATTAACAAGTTGAAGGCAGATCTTCTGGCACATTCACAAAACACTTAATATAAAAATGCCCAGAATGCTAATAATTCCCCTCTTCACCCCACTAATAATTCCAGGGTGAGAAGTTAAGCTCAAGTCCATTTACTTTTCCTTCTGTTATGATATATTATATCTATATCATCAGTGATCCTTAATATATTACTTTAAAATTTTCATATTTCTATATTTAAAATTCTATTACTTTCCTAAATTTAAAAAAATTCAGGGTATGATTTTAGTGCCCTGATATGTACTGAAGAGAACTAGTAGATAATGTTCTCTTGATTTAAAATAGGAAAAAACAGGTGATTCTAAACATTGGGTCAAATATAACACTTAATCAATCTTAGAATATTTATACTATCTTTTCCTATAGTTAATAGTAATTTCCAGGAAACAAGGTGATTTTTCAAAAGCCATCTGTTTGAATACATGGTGCGGGGAGGGGGAGGGTGATTATTTTCATGAGACACAACTAGAAAAAAAAATTTCAACTTAATTTTCACACCTGAGCATTAATAATTGCCTTTTTCTTTAACCATAGTCTGTGTTTCCTTTTTGTAAGCTCATTTAATTTAGTGTTTCAGCACACGCTGAGTAAAAAACATTACCATATTTTACAGGGTTGCTTAAGATCACCCTCTTATCCATAAGATATTCCTTATTCTTCATAAACAACAGAAAGAAAACTCTTAAATATGTGAGGCAAACCATTTTTAAAAATACCAATTTCTGGTTTTAACATTGGTTAAAAAAAAAAATCCAAAATCTAACCAAAAGGAAGTCACAACAAGCATTCTATAATATAAACAGACAGTATCCACATAGTTTATTTCTCACAGTTCTCCTGACAAATGAACATCATTCAAGAACATACTGTATACACAGATAAGAAGAAACATACAAAATGTTTTAAATGATGCACAACAAAATCCAGCAGTATAAAAGAATGCATGTGAACTCTTGCTCACTGCGCAGACTAAATTTAATCACTTGTTTAAATAGTAATAAAAATACAATCTTTTATGGATCTTGTGCAGACTACAAAAGAGGGAAATTTTTACCATATATATGATTTTTATATTAGGCAGTTTTCTTTGATGAGTTGTACTGACAACTCCAAATACAGAGGCAGAAGGCTGTGTATTTTAAAGGAATTAATGTTGTGAATTAGAGACTTTACACAGTTATTACCACTGGCACTTTTCACCATAGTTTGTACACATCACATGATCATCTTATATAACATTACATTTAAAAAATATATCTGAGTGACAATTTTATAACATTCACACACCATGAGCTGGTTAAGAAAGCAATGCCACAGTTGCCTCCTGTAGTGCTTCACTGTTGGTAATTAAGACAATTCATTGTGGTTAAAAGAAATTAGATATCAATATGATTAAGCAGCTCCAATTTACTAAAGGCCATCAATGACCACCACTGGGACAGTGAGTTCTTTTAAAGTGTATATCCTAGAAGCAAACACCATCATTGGTTAAAATTTTGTCTAAAGAAGTCAGTTTCTGTGCTGAAAACTATTTTCACAAAACTGAAAGCTACTAAACTGTTTTAATATAAATACTTTGTCTTCTCATTATCATATCTATGACCAAGTTCTTTGAAACCTTTGGAATTTACTCTCTCTTTAATGTGTGCTCTCATTCCATCTCACCCATGTAAGATCACCACCTAAAACACGGTGGTGAAAAATTCACCAGGGAAACCCTTTGCTCACCAGGAATGTTCAGCTGCTGAACAGTGATCTAGAGCCACAACGGTGCAGAGCTGTACTTGACGAGAACACTCAGGAAGCTCTCATGCTGTGAGTGTCATTTCTGGGAAAGCAGAGAATCTTTCCAAACTGTGCACATAATTAACAATGATACCATTGCTATGTGTTGAAGAGGACTACTAAATGATGTTCTCTTCCATGTCATCTGTTTGCTGGAAAGTAGTTTGGGTCAAGGTAATTATAACTGGTGCCCTGGGACACACAGTAGTCTCTGTCTAAGAATGTCTCTGACCTATAAATAGGTTCTAATTGGTGATCTTCCTTGTGAATATCTGTTTCATGTAGGCTACAAAAAAAAAAAAGACACATATAATTACATGGTATTGGATGCATTTTAGTCTGTATCTTACAAAGCTTCCTCACAGCTCTCTCTGTTTAAATCCATTAATCTATCAAAATCTCTAATGAAAGTTACTTGCCATGTGGTATGATTACAGAAAAAAATTGCCTAGAACAACAAAGTTTAATTCACTAAGTGTGGTTATTAATATTTTCTATGTTTGAAATCAAATTCACTAATGGCTGAGAAGCTCTTTTCTTGTCTAAGCTGAAGACCGACAGTGAAGAAAACACTTACCAGTCTGAACAAGAATCACAGAAATCCAAAGACATTTCTGGAGGACAATCCTGGCAATGCCACCGAACACCCTGGATGGGTTCTATGCCACAGTTATCACACTGTAAGATTCAAAGAGAAAAGGTTTTCAGTTACACTGTTCCATGACCATTTTTATTTTCCGCAAGGAAACACATGATGTGCACATAGACATCTCTCTCTTCATGCACAGGATAGTAATATAGCACACAAATGGTTACATGTTAGAGACAATTTCTGGCAAACTACACAAAATTCCATCCACTCAATATCAAGATACAGGTGAGTGAGAGAAACATTAGAAGGGGTAATCTTCAGCTTAAATTTATTAAAAAATGTTTAAAAGTAAATCATCTCCAACTTGGGCGTTTTGTTATTTGTAACCATCTACTTGAAAGGAACCTCAAACCACTGTATGATGGCTATGGTTGAGAAACACTGAGTTAATAGCATAGTTAAAACCATATATGTAAATATGATACAGAATTGTTTCAACAGGTTCTCTTGGCTAACATTAACCCAGGAAACCATAAAATTCTATCCCAACTTTTATCTTACTGAATTGCTCCCTAAACAAATGCCTCATGTCAAAAAGGCAGATCTAGCTCTTTCTCAGCATGGTGGCATCACAATAGTCCTCAGTGTGTTCTGTGCACTTTCAGAAATCAAAGGATATATAATTTCTAGTTTCTTTGATCATCTGACCAACTAGAGTGGCTGGCAGACTGGCAAACAAGCCATGGCTAGGTTTTGCAGCTAAATTATGAGAAGTGAAGCAAGTTTCTCTTTGAAAGGCCAGAGCTGCCAGTTAGGAATATCTCTAATAGAGAAGCAGTGTCGCTGAGAGATCAAGAGGGAAAATCATTTAATATAGTATGGCTACTGGCTACTCAAGAGGATCAAAGATATAATTTTGTTTTCAATTTGGTTTACCAGTCGTAACACACATCAATACTTTCATGTGTACCCACCAACATCACCAAGTTCATGGCCTCATTATTACTTCCTCCAGTCCAAGTCAATTCTAATGCTTAAAGGTTCCTCAAACTTGTCAATCTTTATTTCCACAGACACCAGTCAAGTTCAGGACACCCTCATCTTTTATCTACATTATCAAAAGAATCTCTAACCAGTGTTCTTGACTCTAGTCTTTCCTTCATCTAATTAAGTCTCCACACTATGGCCAAAATAATGAGGGGAAGAACTGTTCAGTTCCAAAGCCACTGCTTTCCTAAAGATCATCATGACCCCTCATAGTTTAAGTAACTAGAATCATATTTCCAAAATGTAAATTTCATGTTACTTTCTGCTTAAAATCATGCAATGGTTCCCCAACCTCTCAGCATAGTGTGAGCTCCTGAGCAAAAATTTCCAAGGTGGCACTTGCTGCCCCTACTCTCTAGTATGTACTCTAGTCACACTCAACTATTTGCTTAACTTTTCTGAATTCCTTATGAGAATGAAAACAGCGTAAGGGCAGAAACTGAGTCTGTTTTGTTTACTGCTAAATGTCTAGTACTTAGCAAAGTGCCCGAAACATAATGTGTGTTACAAAATTCTGTGGAATAAGTGTATTTCTATTAGCCTCTCAATCAGACAGGGAAAAAACCCATTTCTGATTCATGAAGAACAGCAACAAAAAGAGAAACAGCTAAACAAAAGTCTCTCACATTTTACCTCGATTTATAGCTACCTGTATGTTTATCTTCACTCTACTAAGTGATAAACGCTTCATTATCAGGAACGATGGCACCACTACTTCATATAAATGAATGGGATAAAAGATAAACTTTTTCCTACACGCTTAGCAATTCTGGAGTTTAACACTCCAAAAACCACTTTAAAGTATTTCTTATTGCCCTTTTAAAATTAAATGAATACTCCAGGCTGGCCAACATGGTGAAACCCCATCTCTACTAAAAATACAAAAATTAGCTGGGCATGGTGGCGTGCACCTGTATTCCCAGCTACTTGGGTGGCTAAGGCACGAGAATCACTTGAACCTGGGAGGAAGAGGTTGCAGTGAGCTGAGATCATGCCACTGCACTCCAGCCTGGGCAACAGAACAAGACTGTCTCAAAAAAGTAATTAAATTAAATTAATACCAAGATTACGTAGAACTTACCTTAAAGCCCACATGTTGCACAAATCCACTTTCAGCTTGCATTTGCTGAAGTTTCTGCTTCTTTAACTTTTTAAACTGTAATAGTTCTTTATATTCAGGTAAATTCCTATACATGATAGGAATACTTTCATCATCCTATAAAAAAAAAGTTTGATAATTAAAGTGAATTAAGTGTAAGAAATACTGATATAGAGTATTTTTCTACTGACAGTTTAATTTTCAAAACATCTTTTAGTACTCAGAAAATTTGTGCTGCTATTAGCAGTATTTTCCAAGAATGCTTTTGGAGGCCTTTTTTTTTTTTAAACACAACAGTAATTGTGAATTGCAGCAGACTGCTTCAACACAGGGACAAGGGGAAGATGGCCACGATTCCTACCTCTGTCACACACTATTGCAGACCCAATCCCATCTTTACATTTCCATGGTTACTTGAGTGACTTGTAATCTACTTCTCTCTCATCTAAGGAAGTTTTTCTTTTCCGATCTAACAGATTTTTACATTTGCTCCTGTAAACATGACACTTTCTTAATAACAAGCAAACCAATCTCTACTCTTGCTTTTTGCTCTGTACTCCCAATGATCAAAGTAGTACATTTGTCTCTTACTCAATAGCATGAACTGAGTTACAAAGATGACTATTTAGAAGAGTATAAAAGAAAAAAAAAAACAGTAAAAACTACATAAATATATTAAGTAGGCTAGGTGCAGTGGCTCATGCCTGTAATCCCAACACTTTGAGAGGCCGAGGCAGGTGGACCACTTGAGGTCAGGAGTTCGAGACCCACCTAGCCAACATGGCAAAAGTCTGTCTCTACTGAAAATAAAAAATTAGCTGGGCATGATGGCCCACACCTGTAATCCCAGCTACTCGGGAAGCTGAGGCAGGAGAATCACTTGAACCTGGGAGGTGGCGGTTGCAGTAAGCTAAGATTGCACCACTGCACTCCAGCCTGGGCAACAGAGCGAGACTTTGTCTCAAAATTTAAAAAATAAAATAAATGTATTAAGTTGAAGTATCCCTTAATAAACTGGCTTTCAAGGTATAAAGTTCATTTATGATTCCGAACTTTTAGATACATATGTTCAGAACCATCCCCCACCTCCCAATCGACAAGTAGTTTTCTACTCCAAGTGTCAACATGCAAAATTTGAATATTTAAAATTGCTGACAACACTGTGGTTCATCATCCTAGGCAACTTCAAGATTATCACTGATGCCCAATTCCCTATTTCTGGCCTCTAATCTTAGACTGATTCTACTGAAATGACCTTCATCTTCATTCCTTCTCAGTCTCCCACTCCAACAGCCATACCTTGGACCTTGCCTTCAACTGTAAGTGTTTTACATCCAAAATATTAAGCTTAGATTTCCTACCTCCACTGTTACTTCGACTTCTTTCATATTCTCATCCCAAATAATCAGCTTATTTTTTAATCTCATTGAAATTTCTAATCACTATTCTACTACCTATTCTCTCAATTCATTTGTGCTCTGCCACCCAGGATCCATTACTTTCCTTTGCTACCTAATGACTGATCCCATGCTCACTAATTTCCTAAAAGGATCCCCAGTTCTTTGACCCATGTTCTGTAAATTCCCAATCCTGGACCAGACAAGCCCTGCCCTCTCCCATTCCTCTGCTACAATAGGTATTATTAAGTGCTATGTTTATTTTACTTAAGAAAACGAAAGCTTACAGAAAACAGCCCAAGTCAGAAATCTAAGTGTTATCCTCAGTTTTTCACTCTGTCTTATACCGAATGTAACAAATCCTGTCGTTTCTTAATACTTTCTATAATCTCTCTCAAATTGGTCCTCTAGTATCCACCCCCTCCTTTGCCTCTACCATTACTCAAAAGCTCCCAGTGGTTTCCTGATTATCTATAACATCAAGTCCAAAGTCTTCAGCTGAATAAGAAATTCTTTACAATTTCACACTTCATCTATCTTATCTCTCACTTTTCCTGTTTGTTTTTTTTTTTTTGGTTTGTTTGTTTGTTTTAGAGACAGGGTTTCACTCTGTCACCCAGGGTACAGTGCAATGGCAGGGGCTCTCTGCAGGCTTGACCTCCCAAGCTCAAGCAATTCTCCCACCTCAGCCTCCTGAGTAGTTGGGATGACAGGCACACACCATCAAGCTGAGCTAATTTTTTTTTTTTTTTTTTTTTTTTAGAGACGGGGTTTCGTCATGTTGCTCAGCTTGGTCCCGAACTTATGGGCTCAAGCGATTTGCGATTTGCTCACCTAGGCCTCACTTGTTGCTGGGATTACAGGGTGAGCAACCATGCCTGGCCCCACCATGTTTCATCCATTTCAAATTCTTGTCAACTAAATATGTTAGATAATTGTTATTACCGCCCTATATCCCCACTGAGAAAGATGACATAAGTAATGCTATACACTAATAAATATGTGACCCAAATAATTAGATAATATACTAAGAAATGTCATAAAATTTACTTAATACAGATATTTTACAAATGCAAAGAGTGTAAACACTTTAAAAATTTTAAATTTGCTTTTAAATTCTAAGGATATTATTAAATGTGGTCAGCAAGGGTAAGATTAAGAAAAATTAAATCACTTCACACCCAGTAGGTGGCTACTACTAAAAAAAGAAAACAAATAAAAAATAACCACCATTGGCAAGGATGTAAATAAATTGGAATCCTTGTGCACTGTTGGTGAGAATGTAAATGTTAGAGCTGCTTTGGAAAACAGTAGAGTGGTTCCTCAAACAATGTAACATAAAATTACCACAGAATCTAGCAATTCTACTTCCCAAAAGAACTGAAAACAGGATATTTGTATACCCATGTTCACAGCAGCATTATTCACAACAGCCAAAACGTGGAAGCAACACAAGTATCCATCAACAAATGAATGAATAAACAAAATGTGGTATACAATGGACTATACTGCAGCCTTAAAAAGGAAGCAAACTGTGATACATGCTACAAAATAGATGGACCTTCAAGACCATACGCTGGGTGAAACAGGCCAGTCACAAAAGGACAAATACTGCATGCTTCCGCTTATTTGACGTATGCAGAGTAGTCAAATTTATAGATACAGAAAGCAGAATGATGACTGCTAGAGGCTAGAAAGAAGGGTGACTGGGGAGATGTTTAATAGGTACAGAATTTCAGTCATATAAGCTGAGAGCTCTGGAGACTAGCTGCACAGTAATGTGACTGTACACAGTACTGCTAAACTGTATACTGTAAAAATGGTAAATTTTATGTTATATGTATTTTACCATAATTAAAACAAAATTTTTTTAAAGCCTCAAAGATTTCCACTTTAAACTTTAAACTTACTTAAAGGGGGACTAATATCAAATGGGGCTACAACTATATACAGATTTTGAAGCCACACAGTAAATAACATATAAGTTATCTATCGCTTTTTTGAAAAGAGAAACAAAAATCTATAAATTTTTCCATCAAATGCTTCATAAATATACATTTTGAGTAGCTATTTTAAAGCAGTTAGAATAATTTGAACTGGTCATCATTTTAAAATAAATAAAATCAACAACAAAAATTATATCACATCCAATCCACTCTATTGTATTTTGCCAATTTGTCAAACTGTGCCTTTGGGTTTTATTTTTGTGTGTTTTTTTCTGAGGGTTTTGGGTTTTGCTGTTGTTTTGGTTTTTGTTGTTGAGATGGAGTCTCACTCTGTTGCTCAGCTGGAGTGCAGTGGCATGATCTTGGCTCACTGCAACCTCTACCTCCCGGGTTCAAGCAATTCTGCCTCAGCCTCTGAGTAGGTGGGACTACAAGCACATGCCACCATGCCAGGCTAATTTTTGTATTTTTAGTAGAGACATAGGTTTCACCATGTTGGCCAGACTGGTCTTGAACACTTGACCTCATGATCTACCCACCTCAGCCTCCCAGAGTGCTGGGATTACAGGCGTGAACCACCACGTCCAGCCTTTTTGTTTTTCGAAGACAGATTATCCCTCTGTCGCCCAGGTTGGAATGCAGTGGCATCATCCAGGTGCACTGCAGACCCAACCTCCCAGGCTCAAGTGATCCTCCCATCTCAGCCTCTTGAACAGATGGGACTTTATGAATCACCATGCCAGGCTGATATTTTTTTCGTTTTCCTTTTCTGTAGAGATGGAGTCTCACTATGTTGCCCAGGCTGGTCTTGAACTTAGGCTCAAGTGATCCTTCTGCCCCAGCTTCCAACAGTACTAGGATTACAGTTGTGAACCACCACACCTAGCCAAACTGTACTTCTTTTAAGTACTCCACCACCACTCCTAATGCTATCCATAGTTCAAGTACCATCTTTACTATCACCTTTTCAGGTCTTCCCCTGAAACTCCCAATCTAAATTAAGTACCTCACAAATAATTAGGTTAGCATCTATTTTTCCTTTGAAGCATGCATGCATTCATTCATTCATTCATTTTGGAGATAGAGATTTTGGTTTTGTTGCCTAGGCTGGAGTGTAGTGGTATGATCCCGGCTCCTGGCAACCTCCACCTCCCGGGTTCACTCAATTCTCCTGCCTCAGCCTCCTAAGTAGCTGGGATTAGAGGCATACACCACCATGCTCAGCTTTTTTTTTTTTTTTTTTTTTAGTAGAGATGGGGCTTTTACCATGTTGGCGAGGCTGGTCTTGAACTCCTGACTTTAGGTGATCTTCCCACCTTGGCCTTCCAAAGTGCTGGAATTACAAGTGTGAGCCACAGCACCTGGCCTGAAGCACTTTTAAAATGTGTGATTTACTGATATAATTACACATTTATCTCCTCCCACAAGACTGAGTTATAAGCATAAAGATCAAACATATTTTTTTATAACTATGTATCTAACCCATAGCAAAGCCTGATAAATAGTAAGTTTAAATAAATATTTCTCAGATGTACAATTCTAATAAAACACAAAGTATGAAATTATACACAAATGCTGTTTAAGACACAGCAGATATTAATCACTTCTCTTTTTTTTTTTTTTTTTTTTTTGAGATAGAGTTTTGCTCTTGTTGCCCAGGGTGGAGTGCAATGGCTAGATTTGGCTCACTGAAACCTCTGCCTCCTGGGTTGAAGCAATTCTCCTACCTCGGCCTCCCTAATAGCTGGGATTACAGGTATGTGCCACCACACCTGGTTAATTTTTTGTATTTTTAATAGAGATGGGGTTTCTCCATGTTGGTCAGGCTGGTCTTGAACTCTCGACCTCAGATGATCTGCCTGCCTGAGCCTCCCAAAGTACTGAGATTATAGGCGTGAGTCACCGCTTCCAGCCTGAACTCATTATTTTAAAAACACGAAAACAGGCGGGTGCAGTTGCTCATGCCTGTAATCTCAACACTTTGGGAGGCCAAGGCAGGTGGATCATGAGGTCAGGAGATAGAGACTATTCTGGCCAACATGGTGAAACCCCAACTCTACTAAAAATACAAAAATTATCCAGGCGTGGTGGCGCATGCCTGGAGTCCCAGCTGCTCTGGTGGCTGAGGCAGGAGAATAGCTTGAACCTGGAAGGGTGAGGCTATAATGAGCTGAGATCGCACCACTGCACTCCAGCCCGGGCAACAGGGTAAGACTGTCTCAAAAATAAATAAATAAATAAATATAAATAAAGGGAGAATTGAGCAATTATCCCACCTTTTCTATATGTACCTCAGAGTAACCAAATAGTTGATTGGGAGGCAGGGGGATTACTTTATAGAATAGGCCATCAAGTAAATGAAGAAGAAATGACAGCGTAATCACTATTTTGTAACATCTAAAGAATCTAGGCAATGATCAATGGCTTTTATGGCAAAAAAAGAGGCAACCAGGCTGATAAAAGTACACATGAAGTAGTCCTGCCCACCCTAACGAATACATCTCAATCTGACCAATGCTCTTGACCTAATATGACTTTATAGGAAATTCAGAAAACAGAGGAACAGGTTAAATGACATCAAGGAGATATAATCAATAAAATCCATACTGGAAAATTCTACAGGACAAATGAACAAGTTCTTCAACAAAAACATTGTGAGAGGGAAAAAAGGAAAGTAAAAGAGGGAGAATGAACCTCTTGTGATTTATAGGCTTTATGAGGATCCAAACCCAAATGAACAAATTAGGAAAAAAAATAATGAACTGGTGACTATATATTTCACTGTATAACAAATTATCTTTTATTATAAACATGATAATTACATTGTATAATATCTGGGACTTGCTCCAAAATAATCCAGAGCAGAGTTGAGGTGGGTAGGGAGGGAGTAGAGGTTAAAACAAAGTAGCTACATGTTGATAATTGTTAAGGTTCATTATAGTAATCTACTTTTGTGTATGTTTGAAATTTTCTTCACAAAAGCACATTACTTAAAAACTATACATTGGACTTGTTCATTAGAAGAGGAGAAACCAACATTCTCTGAAGAGTGAAAATAATTAGAAAATCCTACTCTCCTTCTATACCTTGATGTGTATAATAACTAAATAGATAACTTACTGATGCCTCTTCAACAGCAGTGTTCATGTGGCTCTGAAAACAAGATCGATCATCATCTTCATCCATATACACTGGTGGTTCATGTGAAGTCATGAACGTGGAAGGCTTAAAGAGATGCTTATTAAGAGGGTGCTGTCGTCTGCTTGTTGATGACTAAGTAAGAAAACAAATTTTTAATTGGGACAGTGAAAAATCATTATAAGAACTGAAAATATAAAAATACAAATTTACTTCCAACAAGTCTATCAGAAGAATTTTACCTCTATCCTGTAGCACACTTTTATGTTGTTGCTTTTTCTATGTTTTCTGGGTTTTTAAAGCACAACTAGCCTTAAAAAAAAGAAGAAGAAAATGTAGGGGAGGTACCCCAACAACAGTAAAATGGACCACATGCTCAATATCTACCTTATATTTGTATCCCCAGCATTCTCCACTCTTGGCAGTCAAATGCTGGCTGCACTGAACTCTTATGATCATCTTATAAAAGATCAGAGAGGATGAAGTGGCCTATGCCACACATAAAACTATCCAGTAAAAGAAAAATTTCTGTAACATTATCAATATCTGAAAATACTTATCTAACACTGACTGACTGCTTACTTTATGCCAGGAGTGTCCAACCTTTTGGCTTCCCTGGGCTATACTGGAAGAATTGTCTTGGGCCACACATAAAATATACTAACACTAAAAAAAAAAAAAAAAAAAAAAAAAAAAAAAAAAAAAAAAAAAATTGTAATGTTTTAAGAAACTTTACCAATTTGTGTTGGGCCACATTCAAAGCTGTCCTGGGCCACACGTGGTCTATGGGCCATGGATTGGACAAGCTTCTCTATGCCAGTATCATTTAATCCTTACAACATTCCTATAAAGTAGTTATCATCACCTCTAATTTAAAGATGAGGAAACTGAAGACAGGGAGGTTAAGTTTCTTGTCCAGTGTGTTGCAGCTAGATAGTGGTAAAACCAGGATTACAAACTAGGCCTGTGTGGTGCCCAAATTCTCACTTTTCACCACTATGTAGCCTGCCTGTCTTGATCAGTAGCACGGTCACAAAGAATACCCTCAGCTACATGGAGAACCATCATTTCACCTGTTCCCAAATTTAACTATACTGGCAAACAATCATTATAACTAAAGCTGTACTAGATCTTCACAGCCAAAATACAATATACCCAAGGGAAAAAAACACATGTAGTTTCTCCAGTATTCCTTTTGTTATCATTATCCAGTGTTAACTATGGATATGTTAACATATGGTTACACCATATCTATAAAGTTAGCTTAGAAATTAATCATGAAAATTAGACCTCTTACGTAGAATACTGGTTAATGTAAGGTTCCAATATCCCAAAGTCATAGGATGAACTCTATATATCTAACACAAATTATCCTATATTTGGTGGGAAATCTAAAATATTTAAAACAACTGGCAAATTAAAACAAGCTTCCAAATCTTGGTTTTAAAAAAAATGTTTTTTAATATGTAAAGCATGAAACTGTATAGACAATATACTTAATGTAAAATTAAGTGGTTTCAATATGGTAGGGTAACAGCAATAGATATACTCTTAGCTTCCCTTTATGAGAAAGATGGCAGTGGTGGCGAAGGGAAAATACCAGGATAACTTATTAAGAAAATGAAAAACAGCCAATTATATATTTTTATAAGTATAAGAAACTAGCTACATTTTAATGCAGTGTTCTGTTTTAAACAGTAGCTTCTCCACCGTAGAAAGCAACAGAGAATCGTGGGAAAAGCTTGGCATCAGAATGAGAGAATCAGTGGTTCTCAGACTTAACAGCTAAGTGACTAGATAATTTACTCAACATACCTGAGGGCCCAGTTTCCTTATCTAATGAAAGGTTATAGAATAGTAGAGCCTGGCCCAGAGCCCTCAACAGTAAGGAAAACAGTTAGCTATGAATATTATTATAAGTTAAGTGAAGATAAAACTATTTATACTTCAAGAATTGTAGTAAGCATTAAATAAAATATTTTAGTTTTTTAAAGACATGGGATCTCACTATGTTGCCCAAGTTGGACTTGAACTCCTGGCCTCAAGTACTTCTCGTCCCTCAGCCTCCTGAGTAGCTGGGACAACAGGTGCACACCACTGTGACTGGCTTTAATATCATAATAACCCTTTCTATTCTTGGATTTAGGTAGCATTATCTACAAAACAGAAATTGATTGTACTTATTAAATAATCAAATATCCTAAAAACTTTACCCTCACAAAGTCCTTTCTAACATATTCTGAATCTAAAATCTTTCAAGTAGCACTCATTCATATTACTGCCAAAAAAATAATGAAGACTCATTAAAGCTCAAAGAATTTCACTGAGCAGCAACAATGGAGTCCTTATCCTGCATTTATGCACACTATAAGGAAATGCTTAGAAACAATAGAGGTTTTAAAATAAAACAATGCTATTCTGTCAAATGTGTACATTTTTACATAGCAATTCTTACTTTAATAAATTTAATCTACAATTTACTTTCATTTATTTTCTTTTTACCTTTTTGGAGTATATATATAAGTTTGGTGTTCTGCCTGGTACTGGAATACCAGCTTTAGTTAGCTTTATGAAATACTTCTGTACTCGGCTGGCAACCTAAGGAAACACGACAAGTCTCTTAACACAATGAGATGACATACAATACGTGAGTCGTTTTTAAAAATTAAAATGTACATGTGTATCTAATGAATGCTAACAATTCAATGCTCATCATGAATCTAGAAATAACAATAAACTGCCACCAAATACACATATATTTTAAAATTTGAGCAAAAGAAAAATTATTCAAGTAAATTTAAATTTGATTCCAAAGCTAAACACATATTTCAACTTGTGAACACTTATGTTTGTAGTATAAAAACACATCTATTAATATAGATGGGAATATGAAGGAGTAAACAGCAAGATACAGTTTTAGAAAGACAACCAGAGAATACTAAGGCAATGAAACAAATCTGTTTGCACAGTATAACCAAAAAGTATACAATTAGTATGCTTAGTAAGCATTCAAGAGAAACTGAGTCCATTATACGTTCATTTTAAAATATTTTGTAATGATCCAAAGAGAAACATCTCAAATTGTTTCTGAAATCAACAAATATACATACAATTAAAACACACACACACACACACACACACACACACACACACTACAGCACTCTGTAGCTCAAAGTGTTATGTCAGATTGCCCGATGTCAGCTGCATTATTCTCCTTTATTAAAAAACTACGAAAAGCATGCCAGCAATCTGCAGTCATCTCAATTACCTGTTTTGCTGTCCTGTTGCCCAGTTCATCTGCTATCTTCTGCCAGCGTCGAGATTCTACTTCTTCAGGAGGGTATTTGATGAGCAGCTGTTCAAGCTTTTTCTAAGCCATACCCAAGACCAAATTTAAGAAAATATGTATTTAATTTTAAATATTGACTTTCTAAATAAATACATGCACATTCCATTTCAAAGTGTAATAATCCCACCTTTGGGGGATACATTATTAGAAATGCTTGTGGTAGGAAAAATTTCTAGTTAGAAACTTAAGAATTCACAGGGAACAATGAAATTAGAGAATAGATTTATGAAGGAGCTTACAAAAGTTTTCTATTCACTTAAGTAAAAAGACTGCACAAGGAAACAGAAAATAAGTAAACAAATTGGTAGATTACACATTTTAGTGATTTCCACTGACCATATTTTCTAACTAGAATACATCAGGCTTTCCTGTACAGTTTTGACAAAAACGTGTAAATTCACTTAAATTTGGACTATTAAAAGAGGCTTTTCCTTCTTTTCCCAAATGCAAATATTTGATTTTAATATTCTTTCCTGTCTCCTGTATCTTCTCATAGTCCTAAAGATGCAGAAAAATCTGGATGCTTTAAATAAATAAAGATATCTCAAAGCTTTTTATAAACTGCTAAATGTATAGCTGTGGGGTTAATATCCATATGAGACCGAGATGTGCCTCAAACTTCACCTATAAACAACCCTTGCCATTAGCCAAAAGACAATGCTAGCTGTATGCCAGAACTGACTTGGCTTCCTCATCTCTCCTCGACAACAAAAATAAGAATGCACTTAAAGCTCAGCTTTACTGGCCTCAGGTTTTTCTCTCTCCCAAAGCTACATTACAAAACATCTATTTTATTCCATCCATTTCTACTGCCTTCTGAAAACCCAGGTTCCTTCTTTTAAAATTATACCCAAACAAGAGTTTACACATTCTCAAAATCCAAAATTCTTGAAGTACACAAAAAGGTACGGAAAAATAAGCCTAAATATTTAAAACTCATGGTTAAGAGGGATCACATACAACATACACTTAATTCATAATATGGACTCTCTTCTTTGTGAGATGGAGTCTCACTCTGTTGCCCTGGTTGGAATGCAGTGGCATGAGCCTGGCTCAATGCAACCTCTACCTCCTAGGTTCAAGCAATTCTCCTGCCTCAGCCTCCTGAGTAGCTGGGATCATACAGGTACATACCACCACGCCTGGCTAAGTTTTATATTTTTAGTAGAGATGGGTTTTACCATGTTGGCCAGCTTGGTCTTGAACTCTGGACTTCAAGTGATCTGCCCACATCAGCTTCCCAAAGTGCTGGGATTACAGGTGTGAGCCACTGCACCCAGCCTCATAATACTGACTCTAATGTTAACTGTTTACTTTTTTTTTAAGCCTACATGATTTTGAAATATCTACTACCTGTTCTTCAACAGTCCACAATTGATTAAATGTTTCAGGTTTGGTATCATCACACAGGCGTCCTCTTATCATCTGCACATAAGACAAGGCTTTTGTCAGAGAGAAAATAACAAAGTCTACCCTTTGATATAGCCAAATAACACACAAACTGTGAAATTTTTAAATTAATTTTAAAATATTTGAGTATATTATGTGTGTATGTGTATATATACATATATACACACACACACACATATATATTTACTATTTACAAAATGTCTTCACATCATTTTATTTCGTTTGGTTTCATACCTTCAGCAATCCTGTGGAATACATGATAGTACTGCAACTTCATTTTTTTTTTTTTTAAGGAAAAGGAAATGTGGGTTCAGAATTGAAAAGTAACATGTCTACTGAGGTTCATCTAACTAAGAGTGGCAAGGCCAGGACTCAAATCCTGGTCACATGTCACCATACACAAAGGAGCTACTGTGTTTACAGTAAATACTATGTATTGGATACTGTACTAGGCACACTGCATGTACTACCTACTTAATCCTCACAACAACCCTACAACATACATTTTATATAAGAGGAAACTGCAGCTTAGAGACTTCAACACAAGATGTCTAAAGGTTCACAGCTAGTAAGTTAAGACGCCAACCTGTTTCTCTTAATTTCAAAGTTCATGTCCCCTATATCTTCCAGTGAAAGACTTTTTAATTTTAAGAATACAAACCAGCAAAATATTAAAATGTTTTGCCTAAAATTCAAATTTTCCTACTCCAATATTTCATACTGCTTACCTGAGGACGACTGCTTGAGCCTTCTGGACCATCACTCAAAGGCAACACAGAATATGAAAGGGACTCTCCATCCTTCTTAGGATCTAAAGGACTTTTTGGTCTAGCAGGTAAACCTACTGAAAAATAAGACCACATACAGAACCGTTAAAGCAAAACACTGCCAGATATTTTTCTACTTAAATTCTTATCATAGGATTTCTTACCTTTATCAAAAACTAGCTTAACTCTTCTAGTATGTCTTTTACGATTTTTAAATTCTCTTTCAAAGTTCCCAAGGCTATGGGTATATTGGTCCCATACAATCTCAGGCAATTGAACAACTCTCTGTGGATATGGAAGCCCTATGTCAGCCTGGAGACAGGGGAGATAAAATAAAGTAAAAGTCTAAATTTAACTGAAGAAATAATCAACCACAGTCAAATTTTCAGATGACTCCAAATCCAAATAATCAATGGAGTATTTCTATTCATATTTAAATCCAACAGACAATAAAGTTAATTAATACTGTCTAAATATTAAATGCTAAAAACAATAAGTGAAGAAGAAATGAATTTGGCAAAACCTAAGTACTGCTTCTAGATGGAGAGAAGTGTCTTTTAAAATAATGACAGTAGTATTAAATAAAACTAATGAGCCATAATTGTTCTCTGTATTCCAAATACCAATATATATCATCAGTTTCATTAATGTGAACTAGGAGGAATTTTTTTATGTGTCCACTAAAACAAACATATTACCTGTCAACAATATAACTAATATGACAAACCTAAATAAAATAGGCAAGCTGAGTTTGCATGAGGAAACACAGAACAATAGAAGAATCAACCTTTTAAATTAAATCTAGTAGAAAAAATTTTTTCCAAAGAACACAGGACTTTCATGGTAATTTTTTTCTTTAAAAAATATTCCCAGACACTGATAACTTCATGGTTAATAAAGTATGTGGCTTTAATATATTTGTGTATTTTTATAAAAAACTCTAAAGATGGTCAACATTACATGTTTATTTCTGAAATAAAGTGAAAAGAAATTCCATTCTAGGCCAGGCACGGTGGCTCACGCCTGTTATCTCGGCACTTTGGTAGTCCGAGGCGTGCAGATCACCTAAAGTCAGGAGTTCCAGACCAACCTGGCCAACATGGTGAAACCACGTCTCTACTAAAAATGCAAAAATTAGCCAGGCATGGTGCAGTGGACTTACAGTCCCAGATACTCAGGAGGCTGAGGCAAAAGAATTGCTTGAACACAGGGAGCAGAGGTTGCAGTGAGCAAAGATCAGACCACTGCACTCCAGCTCGGATCACTGAGTGAGACTCCATCTCAAAAAGAAAAAGAAGAAAAAACAAGGAAAAGAAAGTCCGTTCTAGACTAAACCTGAAAATGAAGAATCAGCAAATTATCAAATGCATACAAATCCAGTAAATATGCCTAACTGCATCTTTTTGCCTACTCGGGAAAGTAAATGAAATGAGATTAAGGTTAATACATTTTTCATTAGTATTTACTTTACTAACACCATCTGTTTTAGTTGAATCGACTGTAAATAACCATTATAAGTCTTAAATCTTTTGTACCAGCAAATATTTAATAACAGCAATGCAGAATCAATAAACACTTAAAGGGGCCTCATTTTAACACAGAAGGTACACCAAAATTTTAAAAACCTTAGAAGTTTTAACAAATCAACATATAGCCTCTACATCTATTATAACATTCAATGTTTTCTAAATGCATGTAGAGAAAGAAATGTTTACCAACTATAATAATATAGCTAGAAAAATTCAAATAATAAGTTAACACATCTAGTGAAATAAAGTCCCCAGGACTGCTCTCCTAACACCTGGACTACTTTTTTAACTCACTAAAAACAGGTAACTCACAAAGATACTAGATTTGTCATACAAGATAAGGCTTCATTTCTTTTTTAAGAAGAGGATTCTTTTTCATCATTTTTCAGTTTTAATCTTTTCACAGAATGCTGATTTAATATCACAAGTCTCAAACCTAATGAACAATTTAGTGAGTCCCTATTACAACACAAATGCACATCAAGATCATCTCCATATTTACATATCAAGAAACTCACAATAAAAACCTGTATCCCTTTTAAGTGGTTAAGTGTTAGACATGAAACTTTTAAGAACAACAAAATTATGGATAATTTTCACATTTAAAAACGGCATTTATAAATTAAGCAAAATTTATATTTCTTCCTCATAGACTTGGCTATCATAACGCTAAAGACATGTAAAATTGATTTTGCTTTTATCACTATTGCTTTTTCTCTCAATATGTACAAAAGTACTAGTGTGCAAAAGAAACAAAAGTAGTTAATTAATTCTGAAGTATTTTTTCTTTTAGCTTACTAATCCTGAAGTCCTGAAACAGAGGAGGAAAAATACTCAAAGAAGGGGAAGGTAACAGGAAAAGCTCGAAAAATACGGCTAAGGAATTGTACAAGTTCCATACAAATACCCAATAAAAGCTTCCAGCTACTTTCATTTGGATATAGTTTATTGCATGCCTGGTGGAGGTGGAAGAAGTTGGTATCTTGCCTTAAGCTGTGTGGCCAATTATAGAAGAAAAAACTTAAACATTTTAAAAAGCATATACCCACAAAAAAGAATAAACCAAATTCTCTTAAGCTATTCCCGCACAGATTTTAGTAAATCTTAAAAAGTGTTCAATGCATACCTTCTTCTGGAGTTTTTCCACAAATCCAATGGGATTTTTTAGTGCTTCTCTCTGGTGTCTGCCTAAACTTTCAAGGTCTTGGACTGCTTGAGAACGCTGAGCCTCGAGTACAGCAATCGTCTGTAATAGTCTCTGATAACTACAGAGACAAAGAAAAATATCTCACAAAAAATTTCCAGTAACAACAAGAAATAAAAACTGAGTTCAAGCCATGATCTACTATTAAGTCACACAGTCTTTTAAGAGTTACCTGAAAGAGTTTAGTAAAACATATTACTGGGAATAAATGAGGTCTTCCTGAGTTACGAAGTACCTACAGAAAATAACAGTTAGAGAAAGCCAAGCCTTCTTCCCCCATCTTAAGTTTTTAATTCTTGAACCTGAACAAGTACAACAAAAAAAGCATTTTGACTTTCCAACAATCTAAGTCATTAAGAAACTGCTAGATTAAAAAAAAATTACAATGATAAAATCTTAACACTAAGAGGGATCAATAAATTCAGCCACTTTGTTGTACTATGTTGGAAAAAGGAATTTGAGGCATGTTTTCTCGCCCAGACACATAACACAGTCACATAATTCCAACGTGATCTTAGTCTCATGGTTTCCATTTGCTCTATTATACCCTCCCTCCGACTTTAAAGATTTACTTTTCCATCAACAAATCTGTTATTTTTTTCTTCTGCATGAAAGATAAAGACAAACGTTCAATTCTTTAGTATTAATCATTTAAAGAAAGACCATAAAGATATTTTTACTTTCCTGTTTGCAAAGGTCCATTTGGTACAGCTAACACATAGTTTTACCTACACAAATACATTACATGTCATTATCCTGAAATCTCACTGTAGTACATCTATTGAAATTAATATTCTCCTTGTTTAAATTGTCCTGCCTCTCTGTTTAATTTCACATTATCAATACACATAGAAAAACACGTTAAACTCAAAGCTCTGAATGCTCAAATACATTTTGCAAAACAACTAAAAAAAACAGTCACTCCAAGTTCACTTTAAAATAAGTGGTGAAGTCCTTGAAGCATAAGTAAAGCACAATTTTTCTTTATGGCTTCGAATCACTTTCATTTTGTTTCCTACTAGACCGTAAATTACATAATGGCAAGTTCATCTGTTTTGTTCATTGTTTTGTTTAGCCAGTAAGCAACACACTCCCCAGCATAGATACTCAATAAATATTTTCTGAATGAATAAATGAATAGATATTCTCTGAATCTTTAAAGTTCAGAAGTAAGCAAACTAGCAGAAGTATCAAAGGCAAAATACTGCAATTTTGAGGTTCACAGGCCATGGTGTCATGGTAACATGATGTTCTCTATCAGTACAGTTTTCTCAGCCTCCTCTCTAAAACAAATCTTATTCTGGTTTTCAAGTCCTTGTCAACTAAGCCTCGAAGAAATTTTTAATAATTAAGGTAAAACTGCTAACACTGAAAGGTAAGACTCCTCTCCAGCTAAAGATATTTCATTTAAAACTAGAACTATGAGTGGGAAAAGCAGGGCTGTACAAAGTCACTATTGGATAAATTAGAGGGTAAGTCTAAACTCACTTTCACTAAGCCTCCTTTTGCTTTGAAGTGTATGGAGTGTACAAATCCTGTCTCAGCTGGCTGTTTCTACTAAGCAGGCTCACAAAGACTCAATTTTAGGGTGATGGTAGTGATCTGAGTGCTAGAAGCTATCCTCTCTATATAATACTCTTAACTGTCATACTTCACCTTCAGAATTCCTATCCCACTAGCTGAACACAACCAACGGCTTATTATATTGTCTCTATCCCTGTTTTAAGCAGGAGTAACACACTTCAGTATCACTTTAAAAACAACTATGAATTTATTAAAACTTCAGTAAATGCTATAGGCACAGTAACAACTAAAAAGGCACAAGTAAAAACAGAGTTATGAAAAAACAAGTCTGAAAAAAGTGCTACAGTCAGTTACAATGGCAGCTGTCTTTTTGTTATGTTTGGAGCAAAAGGACACTGGGAAGAAAGGCCTCTAATTTGAAGCCAACAAATTACAACAATTTTACAGTATATAAATTATTCCATAACAAATCTGACTTAAAAAATAATGCCAACAAAGATGGCAAATAAAGTACAGTTCTTCAGTTCTGCTTCCATCTAGTTAAGACAAAATGATTATTAGATTGGAAGTCCTATGATAAACACTGGTAAATTCTTCAAGCTCAGAATAATAAAGACTCTAAGAAAACAGTAAATTCAAGTCTTTTATCCCAGATAATTGGAATTATTTCCCAGCATACTCAGAGACTGCACCAGTAAGATTACCATATATATATATATATATATATATATATATATATATATATATATATATCTCCATGAGCAGATAAAAAATTATTTAAATAAAACTGGAGTGACATCTAGTAAATATAGATGAATCTATTTTCAATCCTGCTCATCCACCTACACAAGCAAACTATAGAAGCTGATCCAGGCATGAATCCAAGGTGAGATTCATTTTTCATTAATTCAACAGTTATCTACTAAGAAAACAAGGCACTATCCTAAAAGCTTTAGTAATTATCAAGATAAATCAGGCATGAAGTCTAGGTATAACAGAGGAGCACAATTATATCATGGAGGAACTGAATGAAGTACAAATAGGGCTGGACTGGTTGTGTTGCTGGGGATGGAGGATGGCTACATGAGGGTCCATCATACTAGTCTGTCTACCTTTTTGCATGTTTTAAATTTTCCACAATGAATGTTTAAAAATTAATTCCAACTTTGACCCATATTAATGGAGGAAGTAATGACTGTACTACTCCTTCTAGGCTGATCAGATCACAGCTGCCACTGCATTCAGCTATGCTTTAACAAAGACAAACAGGTTCATGAATAGACGAGACAGATGAGAAACAATGTAAGATGAAATAACAATACAATTGTTCCTTGAACAACACAACACAGTTTGAACTCCCTCAAGCCTACTCAATGTGATGACAAAGAGGTGAAGACTTTTAGGTTGGTCCACTTTCACTTAATGAACAGTAAATATATTTTCCCTTCATTATGATTTCCTTAGTAACATTTTCTATTCTCTAGCTTACTTTGTTGCAAGAATACAGTATAAAATACATGTAACAGACAACATTGGTGTTAATCAACTGTTTATGTTATATGGTAAAGCTTCTGGGTCAACAGTAGGCTATTAGAAGGTTTTAGGGGAGTCAAAAGTTATGTGTGGATTTTCAACTATGCAGGAGGTCTATGCCCAACCCCTGTGTTGTTCAAGGGTCAACTGCAGTGTCTAACATTTACTGAATGTGTACTACATGCCACACAAATGTTGTATTTTAAATGTAATAACTCAATCCTCACAATAAATTTGAGCCACGTACCAGCATTCTTATTTTAAAGATAAGGAAACCAAGCACAGATTAAGTAACTCGCCAAGATCAGACTAGCTATTTATGGTAGAGCTGCAATGTGAGGAAAGACTCTGAGAATATTTAGCCAAGAAATGAAAACCTCCACTAGAGTATCATTTCCATCTTTATTTAACAAATATGCATGAAAAGAAATAGACTTGTTTTATAGAGCACAAAGGGTCAAACCAGGAGCAAATTATGATAAAGACACAATATGAAGAAAAACATTGTCTCTGTCAAAATGAAAAATGGTAGGATAGCACCCAATCACCATAGATGTTCAGACAGTTATCTGAAAGAAATTCAAGCACTAAAAATATGAAATTCTTTAATTCCAGTAAACTATGCTACTCACTGAACCAAGAAAGAGAATGGAATAACCAAAAAACAAAACAAAAAAAAAAAAAAACCACACATAGTTTTGCATGGATATAATTTTAATCATAGTTAAACTTTCTCCATAAGGATAGCTTTGCATTCAATCTATTAAAATTATTTATGTCTCAATTTAAATCTTACACAATGCTAACAACAGCGAACTTACTTTTGTCAAAGAATTAGGGTTTTCTTGTTCTCACCTTTTGAGACACGGAGTCGCTGTGTTACCCTGGCAGGTAGGCAGTGGCAGATCATGGCTCATGGCAGCCTCTACCTCTCAAGCTCAAGAGATCCTCTCACTTCAGACACCCAAGTAGCTGGGACAGGTGTGCACCACCATGCCCAGCTAATTTTTAAATTTTTTTGTAAAGAAAGGATCTCACTGTGTTGCCCAGGCTGGTTTCAAACTCCTGGGCTCAAGCTATGCTCCCACCTTAGCCTCCCAAAGTGGTGAGATTACAGATGTGAGCCACCACACCCAACCAGAACTGTTTTTACTTTTACGTCTCCAACATAAAGACATTTTAGCTTTATATATTCGGCCAAACTGTAAATGCCTTTTCAAGTCCCTAAATTATTTTTACTACCTTTCAGTATTCAAGTCCTCTTGAATTCTTTATTCACATTTATGAATATAAAAACATTTTTGTGAAAGAGCATATAGGTAAAAATCCTGACATTTGAAGAGAACATCAAAGAATTAGCAATCTGGAAGTTGATTATGTACGTATGTATGTATGTATGTATCTATGTATTAGATGGAGTCTCACTCTGGCACTTAGGTTGAAGGGCAGTGGTGCAATCATAGCTCACTGCAGCCTCAAACTCCTGGGCTCAAGTGACCCTCTCACCTCAGCCTCCCAAGTAGCTAGGGCCACAGTATGCCACCATTCCCAGCTAATTTTGTTTTCTGGGGTTTGGTTTGGTTTGGTTTTTTATAGTGACAGGATCTCACTTTGTTGCCCAGGCTGTTCTCAAACTCCTGGCTTCAAGTACTCCTCCATCCTCAGCCTCCCCATGTACTAGGATTATAGGCATGAACCACTGTGTTCAACCTGTAAGTTTATTGCCCAATACCTAGGCAATAATATTACATACACAATAATCAGGGAGGAATGGAGGGAAGGAGTCCCGGAGGGAGGCAGAGGCAGATGGAAACAGTAAGAAAGATTTTATACTCAACTGCATCTTTTTTTAAAACTAGATTCCCATTTCTACTGAGGTAATAACCCTTAAGATTCCATGGACATCTGTAATCTTTAAAAACTAATAGAGAAACTTTTTTTTTTGGAGGCAGAGTCTCCCTCTGTCACCCAGGCTGGAGTGCAGTGGCGCAGTCTTGGCTTACT